TGAACTGCCCAAGAATGATAGAATATTTATTTATACCCCCAAGAGGTTGACATTCATTTCAGCCTCTCTACCCAGCAATCAGTTTACAAGCTGCAATGGCTTGTTTACATGCTTCAAGGAGCTCTCGTGTTCTCGGGCTGGCTTCGTCCTGCACGCATAATTACTTTCCAGCTTCAGCTGCTCCCAGCAGATAGACTCTTCTCACAAGTACAAATGGCCAATTAATTCACGAAGAAATGTTCAACATCGCCGGCCACTAGAGAAGTGCAAGTTAAAACAGTACTGAGATTCCACCTCACCCCAGGAAGAATGGCCACCATCAAGAAATCAAAGAATAACAAATGCTGAGGAGGCTTCAGGGAAAAAGGAACCCTTCTGCACTGTTGGTGGGAGTGTAAACTAGTACAGCTGCTATGGAAATCAGCATGGAAAGGCCTCAAAAAACTAAAACTAAAAATTCCATTTGACCCAGCTATTTTTTTTGAGGTATCTTCCCAAAGGAATTAGAGACATCATACTACAGTGATCCATGCATGCCTATGTTTATAGCAGCACAATTCACAGTAGCTAAATCGGGGGTTGGGGATTTAGCTCAGCAGCACAGCGCCTGCCTGGCAAGCGCAAGGTAGTGAGTTCAATTCCCGGTACCGGAAAAAACAAAACAAAACAAAACAAAAAAACAAAACAAACACAGTAGCTAAATCTTGCAAGCAGCCTGTATGTCCATCAGCAGATGATGAAGAAGGAAAATGTGGTATTTACACACAATGGAGTACTACTCTGCCACAAAGAAAGATAAACGAGTTATCTGTAGGAAAATGAATGCAGCCTGAGGCCATAATGTTAAGTGAAATAAATCAGACAAGAGACCCAAAATATAAATAAATTAAAGAGCAAAATAAAATAGGAAGCGAGGTGACAGATCTTTTGCAAAAGGGAAGGGGACCATGGGATGGGGGAGGAGGGAAGGGGTGAAAACAGAACCAAGACGTTATTACAGGGACCACCTCCCCATGCTGTGTGTAATCATTGTGTACTGCAAACATGGGGGAATAATAAAAGGAGGAGGGGGAACTGGGGGAGAAGGAGGGGGAGGGGAAAAGAAAACACAGTCAAGAGTTAGCTCTGGGGCCGGGGATATAGCTCAGCGGTAGAAGTGCCTGCCTGGGAAGCACAGGTCCTGAGTTCGATTCCCGGTACCAAAAGAAAAGGAAAAAAGAAGAGTTAGCTCTGGTCCTTGCCACAAGGACCTTCTGGAACCCACTCTCCTTTGAGCCTCTCAGGTTCCCCTCTAGCAAAAGGTAAAAAGCGATTCCTCCCCAACTGCCTTGGGCAAAGCTAGGGCTCCCTGATGTCTGTATTTCTGCCACAGTTATTTGTGCTCCGTACTTGTACCTCAAACTCCAAATAGCCCTTAATCACTAAAACGCTACCCTAGCCCTCCGCTGGGGGCGCTCAGATGTGAACATAGACTTCTAAATACAAGCCCTGAGCAAGCTGTAAAATGGAGCATGAAAACAAACAAAACAGAAGCTAGGGGCTCGGATTTTCTGCTCCCACTTAATTGGCTTTTGTGGAAAATAAATACATTTAAGAATTAATACCGTAAGACTTGTTTCTACTGAAATACAAGTTTTCAAGAGTGACGGTGACTTGCAGTACCCTAGTGACACTGCATTAGTATTAATTCTCTTCCTTAGCATTTAGATGAGGAAAATGAAACAGGAAGAACAACAGCATCAGAATTACATGAGGGTTTGTTTGCATCTATCAGGATCAGAATCACAATGTGGCAGCTTCCTGCCCACTCTGAGGCCCTGACCCGGCCCAGCAAGGCCAGCCTGATTCTCACTCATCCAGTCTTAAATTACAGCAAGAAATCCAAGCGTAGATGGAAGAGGAAGAGCTGAGATTGACGTCCAGGGTCTACCTCTGCCTGCTAAAGCAGTGCCCAGGAGCCTGCACAAGGATCACACTAAAACTTCACTACACAGGTCCCGCTTGCTTCAAGGACTTACAGCGTCTCTGGTGGCACAACCAGCCCTGGCTCAGCACTCTTTCTAGCCCCTGTTGGACCTGCAGCCTCAGAGCTTGGAAAGAGACCCTCGCCCCTTCCCCGTTGCTCTGTGGTCCCTGGCACCAGCTCCTGAGAGCCTGTCAGTGATACCTCATCCCAACTCTGCATTTCAAAGCAGTGTTTCAGTAGCTTCACATCCACCATGGTGGGACGATTTCATCATGGAGATCAGTAAACACCACAAATCAAATCAGTGTCTTTTATTTTTTTCCTTCTGCAAACAGCTTGTTCAGTTTACCAGCAAGCTACTGCCCATGAACCAAATCCTCTCACTTGCAAACTAAATGTCTCTGTTTGGGTCCCACCTTGGCGTCCACCTTTATCACATCTCCACTGCAGCTGTAATGCACCAAGGCCTCAATGTTGGCAGTGAGAGATAAGGGACAGCAGGGTGGGAAGGGCAAGTGGGTCCTCTGTTTACTGGCCTAGACTCCCAGGCACACTCATGCACTTCCCTTCATGAAGCCCTCCCTGCTGGATGCCTACTTGTGCTGCCCCCACGGGCGTGGAAGAGAAGGCTCTGGGTTGACCGTAAACAAGGAGAGCTTCCTGTGGGTTTTCTTGGTGGGGAAGAAGCCAGGGAAGGAGGCCTGGTGATCTACCTGTGCGTTACTTCACCCAGATTCCTCTCCTCTTGTGCTACCTAAGAAAAGGTAAACTGAGAATCATGTGCTCTGGGGCAAAACAAACACTTTGGAAGGCGCCCCTTGTCCCTCTTTTGGTTGTTTCTTCCCTTTTGATTTCCCAAGTAAACAGTTCTTCAGTACCTCCCTCTCTCCCCCAGTCGCTCCGCCCAGGAAGAAGGAAACATTGGTCAGGGCAAAGCATTCTGCTGTCTCAAGGAGCAAAAATTCCTAAGAACATTGAGAAACACTTCTTCCTCAAAAGCACTGAAGCCAGATTTTAAAAACTGAGGGTTATATCTGTGCTGGCAGAGATGGGGGCCAGGGGCCCTGTGCGACTATTGGCACTGTAGAGTGCGACTAGTGTCAATTGAACATGCTGTAAGTATACAATTCACATCAGGTTTAACCTTTTTCTTGATTTTTTTGAGACAAGGTCTTGCTATCTAACTCAGGCTAGCCTCAAACTCGCAACCCTCCTGCATCAGCTTCCCTAGTGCTGGGAGAAGTGTTAATTTTTAAGTGTGAAAGTGAAAATATTCCAATAATTTTTATATTAGTTAAACATTGGTCTTATTTTGGCCCAATTGAGCTAAATAAAATATAGCATAATAAAATCAATTTTACCTGTTTCTTTAGTTTTTTGTTTTTTTGTTTTGTTTTGTTTTGTTTTGTTTTTTAATGTAGCTACAGTGTGCGGCTGTTCCTGCTGGACTGGACTAAGTTGTAGGGTCCAGGTCTTAAATTATTTATCCAGAATCTGTCTGAAGGCATCTCATGACAGGGAACTTACTACTCCTCAGCAGACGACTCTATCTGAGACAACACAACCCTTAGATTTTCTCAAGTCTGAATTTTCACCTTTGGGGTTTAGAGAATATTTTAATTCTCTTGCACAAGACAGAAATATGGGAAAAGGTGGAGGCAGGGCCTCCCCTACAGTACAGACCTTTCAAGTCCAAGTTCCAGAGATCCTTCTCCAGCACCCACCATCAGCTGAGAAAGCTGCGTTATAGCCCAGGCTCTCTGGCCCCCAGGAATCTCTCTTCAGCATGCTTTCTTGAGAAACTTCATCATCAGTCCTTAACATCCTACTCTTACTGGAAAATGCATGACTGTGACCGGAGGGGACGAAGCTGCTTCTTTTAACAGCTACTGCTTACTAACCACTTACTGTGGGGTCATGCTCCTAAACAGACATCTGTAACTCGCCGAGTCAACACTGCAACTCACGGGGCAGGAAATATCATTCTCCCCACTATATAGACACAGAAACTAGGGCACAGAAACGTAAGTCACTGCTCAGGGTCACACAGCTAGCAAGTGGCAGAGGCAGGGCACCAACCATGCTGCCATATCTTGTAATTTGAGAATCACTACTCTTAATGCTTATTAGGATTGAGTCTTTTCTGTTGTCAAACACTCTCTCAGCAGGGAGCTTCCTGGCCACCGTCACAGCGGGGCTCTCAGTGGGACCCTTGGGACAAACTGCTCCAGATCCCTTGATTGGTGGAAATAAAGAGGGATGAGGAACAAGGACAACAACAACAAAAAAGCACCAAAGTTGAAATCTCTCCTAAATCATCTCAAAAATAGAAGTGGGAATGAAAATTCTCCCAGGCACTCTTCCTGCAGCTGAAGCAGGTTGAGTCTAGGGAACAGAAACAATCAGTAACATCGTTGAAACGTTGACAAGCTCTGAATTTGCTCCTAACAAGCAGTCACCCATCTTCCGACAAAGTGCAATTAAAAACTGAAAACATCTGCTTATGAGACAGTTTAACCAACTTAGAAAACAGATAAGGGTGAGCCTCCCAGCATTAAAAAATGTCAATGATTAAAAATGGTTCCCAGGGCAAAAAATGAGTGCGGGCATCCCCTGGAATCCCGGGTGGGGGCAGGGATTGCTGGCTGATCCTGCCCTTGGACGGGAGAAGGAGAATCTTCCTCCTCCCCTCACCCAGGGACTCTCTGAAAGTAATTGTTGGGAGTTAGATGGAAATAGAGTGAGCAGCAAACCACAGAGCAGGAAGTCCTTGCACTAGCCGAGGAGAGAGACAGCCACAGGACGCGGGGCTCCTTCCCGCTGTACCTGCCACCTGGTAAGCGGCCGCCCTTCCGGGCTTGTAAACCTGGAGGCCGGGTGCAGGCTGGGATTGCACGTGTGTGCAGGTGTTGTGAGGGAAGCGCGGTCTCCTCTCACGGGTGCACACAGGGCTCAGCGTTAACCCCAAAGAGGAAAGTGCGCCCCCCGGCCCCCACCTCGTCCTGCCAAAGTCCCCACCTCACAGCTGACTTACCCAGGAGCTGCACAGCAACTGGAATGGCAGAGACAAAACCCAGGAGTAGGGACAGCCTCATGGCCCACGGTGTATCCTTCTCTCCCGCAGATGGAAAGGAGAACGTGAAAAAGAAACACACAGGGCCCCTGACAGTGCCCCCAGCCTGGCCTGGGTCCTCAGGGTGAAAAGGAGGCAGGAGGAAGCTGCCCCTTATAAAGGGCTCCTGAATTTAGGAAAACCCTCCAGTAAGGAGATATCCTGTCACATGAGGGTGGTTAGAAAAACAGGAATTCAAAGTTACAACTTTGCTTCGTAAGCTAACTTCTGAGAAAGGCAGGCACAGGGGGAAGAGGAGAACGAGCAGGACACGTGTGGGAGAGGGGTGATGACGGGGAGACGTGCACAGCTGGCCTGGCCTGCAGGGAAGTGACTGGGCCAGGACCTCTCTGCTGCTAACTGCGGTGCTGAGCCGAGGCACAGGCTCCTATAGGAAGCGGGGAGTCAGGGGTATCTATGCAGGGACACCCCCACTCTAAAGGGACAGAAACAGTAGGCACTAGGGCTGGGGATTTAGCTCAGCGGCAAAAGCGCTTGGCAAGCGCAAGGTCGTGAGTTCGGTTCCTGGTACCGGAAAAAAACCAAAAAAAAAAAAAAAACAGTAGGCACTAAAAGAGACAGTTTTCATGGGGGACAGTTTTCACAGGGACACTTGTGCTTATGAGGGGCAACTGATCTCAATCTCTATACTCAGTGCTTAGACTCCCTGCCCACTTTTTCCTGGAAAATTTCCAAAGACACAGTTTAAATAGAGCTTTGCTCCTCTACCTGGAAGAAAAGTGAAAGAGAAGCTACATCCAGAAATGGAATGGCAAGGGAAGCCAAGAGGCAGAGAGTTCTAGAAGCCTTTATCCAGGAAGCCCGAGCAAATAGTGGCAAAGCATTGGCAAAAGAGTGTTGCTGCGGGGCCCCTACCATAGTGATCATCCTCAACTTGAAAGGTCCTCCAGGGAGAAGAAAGTCTAGTTTTTAGGTCAGAAGATGTCTGTTGATGTTATGAGCAGAGAGAATCTTTGTTTAAATAAAAAAAGTTAACAGATCATTCATGAAACACAATATCAACTCCCCAACATCATTTTTGTTATTTTCTTCTGAGGTAAAATATGAATTAAGAACATCTTGAAATAGATACTAATGATTAGATAGCTGACCCATAACTTGAGTGTGGGAAATGTTTAGTAATGGAAAAAAAGCTACAGGGAACATTGTATTTTTTCCAGTCTTAAATGAATGCTTTATCTTCAAATGGGAAAAAAGTTCCAAAGATTCTCCACCTTTGTGATAAAGTTGCAAACTCTGTTCCCTAAAAAATTATGATACAGTTCTCTCACTGATTTTTTTTAACATTCTAATTTTAAGATTATTATATCAGGAAGAGAAAAGGTGGCAAAATGTAGGACAGAAGGTCAGTGTTTCTTTTTCACTAAGCCAGTGCTTGACTGACCAAAAATTACTCGCTTGGGAAAGAAAACAGATCAAACAAAAGTGTTTCAAACATTGTTTTACTGATTTTTTTAACATAACATAAATTTCTATATATTTGAAAACAAAACAATACATTTCTAAAATAAACCATGATGAAAAACAGAACATGAGCTAAGATTAATATGCACCAGTCCTTGTTCTACAGCTACTGCAGGTTTGGGAGGCTGGTTTTGAATCTTTTGGACAGATGTATGATAACAACAGTAAAAGGTCCAGCACTAGGCATGGTGGTGTGCGTCGGTCCTCTCAGGATCTTGGGAAGCTGAGGCAGGAAGATGGCTTGAGTCCAGTTCAAGGCCTGATAAGCCAAACAGCAAGGCCATAGCTCAAAAAATAAACATTTTATGTTCAACATTGACAGAGACCACTACAAAGCAGCCCCGAGCAGGACTTAAATCAACTAATTGACTTTCCATATTTACTTGTGAGTCTGTCCAAGGTGTTGGCTCCTTGTCTGGAGATGGGCAATGAACTCATAGTAAGTGAACCTGTTTCACTGATTTAGAATGAAAAATTTTAATGAATCATTTGTAGATTTTATTTTTTATTTTTTGGTTTTTTTTGGTTTTCTTCCAGTACCAGGAATCAAACTCACAACCTTGCACTTGCCAGACAGGCACTGTACCGCTGAGCTAAATCCTCAGCCCCATTTGTAGTTTTAAAATGTCATATTAAAAATGTCAAGTCATATTGCCTTGAGAGTTCTGCCTAAGTTGGATTTATATGATTTCAAAAGGAAATACGATTTAATTGAATCATCTCTACACCCATACTCAGATTTTTTTTGAACTACTTAAATGTGTCACATTACATTTATAAGTAATTAAAAATCAGACTCAGGAGTAAAGTCTGTGGCTTTGAAGCAACATGAAGCCAACTCTTCCACATGATATTTATCTGCATGACCTTAACTACATGGAAACAAAGATTTATTAGGCTAGAAGTGGTGATCAAGGCAAAGGAGAAACCCAGCTCTTGGGGAAGCAAGATCTCAGATCACAGTGATGTAGGAAGTTCCAAGAATCCATCCTTCCATCTGAACAACTGTTGAACTGGCAGGAACTGTCTGAAATAACTATTTTGGAATTGTAGAACCTAATCAAAAACTTGGACCAGGAGGAAAAAAAAAAAAAAAAAAACCCAACTTATACTGACAATTACAGAATATTGCTGAAACAAATTAAATGTCTAAATAAGAGGAACGATATCCCAGATTCATGGAATAGAAGGCTTAATATTGTTAAAAGGGTGATATTACTCAAAGCAATTTATAGATATATGCAATCCTTACCAAAATCCTAGTGTTTTTTGCAGAAATAAAAAAATCCACTCTAAAATTTACATCAAATCTCACAGTATTCCACATAGCCAGATCAGTTCTGAAAAACATTTGGGAGATTCATACTTCCTGATTTCAAAACTTACAATATAGTAATCTAAATAGTGTAATATTAGCCTAAGGACATATAGGCCAGTGGAATAAATAGAGAGCCCAAAAATAAATCCTAATACATGTGGCCAATTGAGTTTTGACAAAGTGCTAAGATCATGTAACTAGGAAAACACAGTATTTTTGTTTTCTTTGGCGTTTCTGGTAGGGAATTTGGTTTTCTTTTGCAGTACTAGGAATTGAACCCAAAGTCCTTTGCAATGAGCTACATCCCCAGCCCTTTTTAATTTTCTTTTTCTCTTTTTTATATTTTGAGACAAGATCTTCCTACATCACTAAGCTGCCCACATTGGGCTCGAACTTGAGAGTTTCATGCCTCAGCCTCTCAGAGTTCTGAGATATCATTACAGGCATGAGCCATCACACCTGTGCAAGATCAGTGTTTTTTAACAAATGATGCTGGGGAAATTGTACAACCACATGCAAAAGAACAAAGCTGAATTCTTATACCTTATATAAAAATTAACCCAAAATGAATCAAAGGTTTAAGATTGTAAAACTCTTAGAAGGAAACACCAGGAAAACTTTCATGATATCGGGCTCAACAATTTCTTAGATATGATGTAAGAAGCATAAACAATAAGAAAAGATAGATAACTTATTAAACTCAGAAACTTTTATTTATCAAAGGATGCTATAAAGGAGTGAAAAAATGACCCATAGAATACAAGAAAATATTTTTAATCACACATCTGATAAAGGATTAGTATTCATAATATATAAAGAGCTACACCTTAATTTAAAAATAGGCAGTGAGCCAAAGGGAGAAAACAAAGAAACTGAGGAAAAACAGCTGCCTTTGTTGCAGCACTAAGAGAAATAGACCCTCAGTCTGATTCTCGAGGCCCCAAGAAGAACTCGTCAACTACATTCATCTGCTACTGCTGTCAAAAGCCAGGCCACCTCAAGAGGGACTGCCCTAAGAAGCCCCCCGGGCCATGCCCTGACTGTAAAGGTGACCACTAGAGGTCTGACTGCCCTCTGAAGCAAGGCCCCAGAGCTCAGACCCCTCCTACCAGCTGGTCCAACAGGAATGAAGGGGCCTGGGGCATACTCTGCCTTCTCCCTTGGGCCAGACCGTTATCTTCAAGGAGGATCCCCACGTAATCATGACTATAGAGGAAAAAGTAAACAGCCTATTGCTGGGCACTGGTGCTAGTCTCTCGGTCCTTCTTTTCAGTCCTGGCCTTCCTTCCAGCCATCACACCTCAGTGAAAAGAGTCACTGTTGAGGAGGTAATCTGCCATTTTTCATAACCCTTGGGCTGTAACTACTTGTTAGATCTTTCTTGCATATCTTTGTTTGCCTGAGAAACCACTTTGAAGATACCAACATGTATTACAGCAGCCACTGATAATTTCCTACCAATCTGTCCATAACTCTGTAATGTTTCTGCTGTTCCCATGCTATTTCATAAATGGATGTATGTTTATTACTATGTGTTTTCAACAACAACCATTGAGAAGAGTCAATGATTATTTAATTGATAACTCATGTATAGCTCTATTTGTTTTCCTTAGAACCACTTTGAAGAAACCAAAGTATAGTACAACAACCATTGAAATTTCCTACTATTTTTGTCTATAACTCACTATTATTTGTCCATTTGTTTTCCTGAGAAACTATCTTGAAGATACCAATAGGTAAAATAACAACCATTGATAATGTCCTACCACTTTGTCTGTAATTTGGTAAATCCCCCTATTACTATATTATCCTTCTTTTACTCTTTTAAATAAATTTTTAAAAAAATAAAAATGGGGGCTGGGGATTTAGCTCAGCGGCAAAAGCGCCTGCCTGGCAAGCGCAAGGTCGTGAGTTCGGTTCCCGGTACCGGAGAAAAACAAAAAAAAATTAAAAAAAAATAAATAAATAAATAAAAATGGGCAGTGAGTTGAAAGACATTTCTCTAACAAAGACCTACAAATGACTAATAAACAAATGTGGAACATCATAAGCCATTAGGGAAATAAAAACCAAAATTACAATAAGATACCATTTCACATCTAAAAGTATGTCTTTTATCAAAACCACTCAAAATACTAAGTGTTCGTAGGGATGTGGAGAAAGGAGATGCTTGGGCATTGAGAATGTTATGTGGTATAGCCACTGTTGAAAGAAGTTTGTCAGGGCCTCACACAGTTAAATATAGAATGACCATATGATGCAGTGATTCCACATCCAGATATACACACCAAAGAAATGAAAACAGGTATTTGTGTACCAGTGTTCATAGAAGTATTATTTACAATAGTCAAAAAGTAAAAGAAACTTAGGTGTCTGTCAGAAAAAAAATAAAATGTA